ATTTCGTAGGTAACAACGACGTCTTTAGATTTAAAATCAGATGACTAAAGACGAAGCGTGTTACCAATAGACATTATTCATAAATGGTGGATAAAAACGTTAACCTTATTGTGAAATACATACTTTAAGATTTACATAGACACATAGACCATAAACTCTTAGTATCAACTAGACAACAATCAAATCAACTCTGTTTTAATACCAATTAATGTTAAACAGTATTTGAAATTAATGTTTTTTCTTGAAACTATTGGATAACAGAATTCGTCTGGGAAGTTTTAAATTTATCACTCACAAAACAAATCTGTTACCTTATAGTTTTCATGCAATCACAGATTGTATTAAAATTATTTTCATAGTCATCATCTTTAGTGCAATTTATTTTTATTAGCGCTAATTGTGTGAAGACTACCAAAATTCATATCTGCCGCATGTGCAGTAAATACGACTATTGAAAACGTGGTCATCTATAACTAAAATTATAAACTAATTGCTTTTTAATCTTTTTATTAAAATTATTACTTATTTATACAATATTAAAATTTAAACCATTAAAATAGGTAATAATTAATAATACGTATGATATCTAAATTTATATAATATTGTACTTTGTAACTTAAAAGTTATAATCATCATTTATTAATTATTATTATCTACTAACAATGCACTTAGCAGTTACTAATATTAAAACTTTATAAAACCAATTTTCGCGATCACTAAAACTGCGGATTAATAGTATATAATTTTAGTCACAAATTTAATTACTACATATTACTAAAAAATATACCACTAAACGGTCGGGTGTTTAAGAAAAACTAAATATTATTAAAATTGTATGTGTACTGACCTTGGGAGAACAAGTATAATATATTAATATAGTATAGTCGTCGAAAGATATCCGTTTGAAGAAGAGTCAGCTTTGGGATGTTGGAGATCTGAACCACGTGAGCGGACAGCGACGACACACTACTGACCACAGAGGCACACTGCACAGACACTTCTGGCACACTCGCACACTGTCCTTTTGCCCTTAAATGTTAACAGACCACAATGGTGCTATGCACAATATAATACATCGTATATATTATACAATAATAATAATACGTATTGTATGTGACAGTCGAAGTCGAATACGGAAGAACCCATATCCATGTGACAAGAATACCTACCTGCTATATATAGAGAGAAGAATAAACGTTACCGTTGGACATTGGTTTCCAATCCTAGCTGTCTCTGCGTTTCTGTTCTTTGTGAATTGCAAATGTTTGTGTTACAGTGGAGTTTCTAATTTTTTCAACCATTTGTATTTTTTCATCCCTTATTTACCAGGGAATAGGAGGGTATTGTCGACACATGGGATTTCTTTAAAATTATTGTATACCGTACCGCCATCACTTTAAATTTTAATAATAATATACTATTATATCACTGTCACGTTATATTCGGGCATTAATTAGGGGGTGGGTGTGGGGGTGGAGTGGACGTAAGCGGACGGATTTCGCTTTATTTTTTCATAGATCTCCGACTCCTCTTTGATTTAGTTGGGCGAGGGACGCTAGAAGCGCGTCACTCTGTGGAATGGGGATGTCTCCTTTTGAATGATGTACAACGTATATAATATAGTATTGTATTTTGTATCCATTTATTTCTAGGAAAGTAATGGTTATTTTTTCCCAGAAAACGGTTATGATCAACGATAATCGGTGTACAAATAAGATAAAACTATACATGGTTATTGACTTATCAAATAAATTTCATTTTTACAATATTTTATTATTAGCAAATGTAATAATATTATTTACTTGGAAAATGGATAATCATTAATAACGATCAATTACGGTACGAAATACCTTTATAACATGGTACGAGTATAATATAATATTATTATTTTGTTTTCATTAATTGTATTCAACATAATTTTGGAACCCATTTCGCGTGGATTCACGGGCAACACTCGTCACATTGTCACATACGAGGCATTATACACTAAGGGCCAGTAAGTTGTACCGTCTACGGTTAAACTTCGATTACGCTTAATCAGCTGATAACAGATATTTAATTCGGCCGATTAAACTCCGGTTAACTTTAATCAGAGACCGTAGAACTGGCCCTAAATATTATAATGTTGTAGTGATAATTATTTAAATTACATAATGTGTTGGTGGTGTGGGAACAATATTACCCACGGGTTGCAGTAAAATTTACTAACTATGCAACTATTTTTTCTGAACTAAAATTAGTATTCTATTTTTATGCTATTTTAGTATTTTACAAAAATGTATAATTATTTATTGATTCCATTTTTTAACAAGTGAAAGTAAAATATTATTAATAATAATTAGCAATTGCATTGATTTAAAAAAACGGAGTTGTGCATTGTGTACGCCTTATGAAATCGCACTTATCACTGTAATTCTTATCACATAATTTGATGAAAATGTAAAAATGACATGTTCATGCATTGAATAGTTTGAACACAAAAATGTTTCTTTTTCAGATTTGTAAACGATTATTAATTAAAATACACATGAACACAGAACAATTGGGTTTTATAATAAAATTGAGATATACTAATAAAGTAATAACTAATAAGTAATAAGAAATAATATATATTGATGTGATATAGAAAATCTCCGTTTATTTTAGTATCGAAATACCTAATTATGTTTTCGGTTCTTAAATTGTATTATTTTTGTGTTAAATGTCAATCTAGTAATTGGGAATATGATTAAGTTATATTTGGGTTGTAGATATAAAACTATTTTGAAATTCATAATATTATGATTTGTGTTTGCACATTAAATATGAATTACTATTATTAAATAAAATACATATATTATTTATGTATCTACGATAATAATGGTAATAATAATATTATGCCTTTGACATACCAATATTCTTAATATAACACTTTAATTAATTATTGTAATATTATTAGACATATTATCATAATGTCCAACACTCCATAATTTTTTTAAATAATATTGTAATTTTATTGATATTTATATATTATAATTAATAATATTATCTACTATAATTGAAAAATTCGTGAGCATAGTAATTTATAAATTGGACGAATGACTACGTTTCCTTGAAATCCGTTTGCAAGAATCATTTTAATTTCTACAGTATTACTTTAAAACACAATATAATATGTGATGTAAGTATAACATTTGTGAATGTATTTTACTATTTTATTTGGTTTGGTTTGTTATTCTGTTTGGAACACGTTCATGGGTATCATGAAAGCTACAAGTAATAAAATACCTAATTCTGTTCATTCAGCGGATTTGTTTATAATATTGAGCCCTAAAACCATAAATTGTTTTCGGGACAGTTTTTGCGTCTTAAAACTGTGTCCTGCAGTGCGTATTTTTTCTTTCTTGTCAGTTGGGTACATTAGCAGTAAGTATTTGGTGATAGGTATCCCACACCTTCTCACATTAAACTGTTAGACATAGACCAGATTTGACAAAGGCGTTCGAAATTCTATTGAAATTTGGGTCAGCTTCATTATATTGTAATGTTTTATATTTATTGCATAGGTACATGTTTGTTTACATTAAAACACTCGTATCAAATAGATTTGAAGAACATTCTGAAATCGAATATTTTTATCTGCAGTACAGTAGTTTTTAAATTCTTTACACAGTTTGTTAATATAAACTATAAAACCTGCATGCTATGGATATGACAAATATAATAGTATTCAATAGATATTAGTATTTTGGTTTTTGATAATTTAAGTTGATAATTTAAATTTTAAACGATATTTCTGTGCAATAATTTCACAGCTTTAATAATACAAAAATATATAATTGGGTAAATTCTCTATGCTCTTGGCTTCTAGAATTAATCGTACAATTACCACCTATAAATAGTATGAATACACCTATAATATCATTCAAGATCGCTCCAAAAGTTTTTTCAGCACCAAAGCACAAATTAATAGACTAGTTTTAAATCTCAAGAATTCTTAAAACTGGTATAGGCACCTATGCGAATAGTAATAGTATCTAAAATAAATAGTAAGTAATAACTAATAAGTATATATATTTTAAGGTGTAGTCGGCCAACTGCTATTATTAAAAACTAATCGATGTCCAAGTATTATAACATTTATAAAATTCGACGTATTTTCTGATAACTTATTATTCTGTGAATTGTGGTGGTGATATTATATTATAAAATTCCAATAACTAATAAATTATAGGTATTAGACATATTTTCATTTGTGACAATTATATTATCTTAATTTATTAATATTTGTTATTTAAATAGTTCATTTTATCATAAGGTACAGAAAATAGTTTCTATTTATGTTTAATTTATTTTTAATTTTAATTTAGGTTTTTATAGTTTTATACCTTTTATTGTCCATTAATCGCGTTATTGATCTATTTTAATTTTAATAAAATTTTAATCTCTTTTGAATATTTTCCAAATTAAACATCAACTTACTATATATTATATTTACATGATAATTTAATATTTTAATTTATTCGTATATTGTTATTAGCTTATTACTGTTTTGATAAACTATTCAATTATTATTATAAGAAACGTGTTTTCAGTTTTAGGTCATTATATATTTTGACTTCCATCATAATATTTTGTTATGGTAGTCGTATTAATTAATAAAAATAATCATTTGAAAAAAAAAATGATCATGTTATGTTTATGTAGTGACTAATGACAGTCTACTTATAACTTATTCCAAATTAAATTATGTAGGTACAATGGTATTATTTTAACATGTTGGTTAAACAAATCATTCAACATTTAAGCAATTTAAAAGTCATTATTTTGATTTTTAAAATTATATCATGTATAATAATGTTAATTAGTAATTATAATGTGTAGTACGCTTTTGTGCAACGACGTAGTGTACACGATTAAATTATTTGTAAAAAAAAAAATATAAAATATTGTAAATATTGAATGTTTTCCAAATTTATTTCGAATTGTATATGCATATATTTTAATTCTTTTATTTTTAGATTGGATTTAAAGGATTTAACATTAGTCCAGAAAAATTGAACGCCAGTTGTGAATTCGAATTCAACAATCAAAAGTATACGTTAAGACATGGTTCGGTTGTCATTGCTGCCATCACTTCGTGTACGAATACGAGCAATCCCAGTGTCATGCTCGGAGCTGGTAATTATTATAAAACGAATTTCGCATCAGAAAAAATTAATCTCTCCCAATTATTCCCGGTTTATTGTTTTCCAGGTCTTTTGGCTAAAAATGCCGTCGAAGCCGGTCTGTCTGTGGCGCCATATATCAAAACTAGTCTCTCGCCCGGCTCGGGGGTGGTCACTTATTATTTGCGAGAGAGCGGAGTTACGCCAGCTTTGACAGCACTTGGTTTTGACACCGTTGGATTCGGTTGCATGACGTGTATTGGAAATTCTGGACCGTTGCCCGAACCCGTCGTGAACGCTATCGAGTCGGTAAGTCGGGTGCAAATCGAATAAAATATTATTGTTTATTATTTAGTAACGAGCCCTGATCAAACATTATGATACCCGTGAGGTGTTTGGAAAAAAAATAGGTAGGTACCCAGTATGAAATTTAATCAATTTAAAATAAACAATAATTTTGATTAGAAAATATAAAAGTGTAATAGGCACTATGTATGTGTTAAATTGTTTAAATTGACATCGCAAAAAATTCCCAAAAATTTAATATTGCGTTTATTTCGTGTCGTTTGGATTTTTTTGCGTTTTTGTGAATTCGTTATTATTTATTACATATCACATATCATATATTTCATTATTGTAACATAGATATACTGTTGTGTAAGGTACTACGAAGTATAAAATTTGATTAATTTTCTTATTGGGAATTTTTTTTCTAAATTTATTCGTCAGTGCCACGTTAACTAAGCGATTGGTTAGCGGTTATCGGTCTAAAAATCCAGATTAAAAAAAGTCCAAGATTACGAATCATTCAATTTCACAAAGTTAGAATTTAAAAAAATTGATACAATTTTACAGTGTACATCAATATCAGTATTATATTTCTTGTACCTATAATTTACAAATATTGCTTGTTGTTGTTGATAAAAATTATTGTTCCGTTTCGTCATTCAGAACGAACTAGTCTGTTGTGGAGTTTTGTCGGGCAACCGGAACTTCGAAGGCCGCATCCACCCGAACACCCGTGCCAACTATTTGGCCTCACCGCTGTTGGTCATTGCTTACGCGATCGCCGGTCGCATGGACATCGACTTCGAAACTGAACCCATAGGTGAGCGATAAGTTTTTTCAACTAATAACACAGTGAGTTATGATTATAATAGTCATAATAACATTACGGGAGAGCACACAACCGACATCAGGTGTGGTTCTGTATCGTTTTAAATGATCCGCCCTTCTTATTATATTATTCAGCAACCAGCTAGAGATTCTGAGCTGTGACGGACAAATACTTTTCTAGCTCTCGCTTTCATAACCACCGGAGCACCGACCTCCTTGACCGACTATCCCTTTTTTAAGGCTGCTGGAACAGAAAATGTGGAAATATCTAATGGCAGTGGCGTAATTAGCAATTTGGTTTGGGGGAGTGGAGCGGGGGGATTTACATGTTTTTAGTAAAATCTGTAAACTGCGTACAGTAACTCGGCAAATATAAAATGTTAATTGTAAAATAAAAATTTTGGGGCGATCCGTCCCCCCTTAATTACGCCTCTGCCTTAAGGGCATAGTCTACAGGAAATTCATTATTATTGTATTGTATATGCACAGTGCATGATGTAAGATACTTAATTAAATCTAAAATTCTAAAATATTATTTAAACTGCTCCTTAAAAGTACAACCAAATAATTAACTAGTGGGAACTAGTAGAAGAGAACAATTTCTTTCAGAAGTTTGATTAAAATTTACTCAAAAGATTTGTATTAACAGAGCATAATAAGAGCAGTAGTTAGTTCTTTTTAGCAGTATAATAAGAAACATATTTAACATTTACAACTAATCAATATTTATTTCAAGAAAAATTTTTCTTTTAGAATAATAATTTTGATTTTAAGACTTGTTAAATTAAACAATCAAATAAAAGCTAAAAAAGTAATCCGATATCGGTAGGTAGATATCCATATTATGTTTGTTGTTTGTTTAAAAGCACACAAAATAAACTCCAAAGGCTTACCACAGAATTGACTAATAGGTACCTATAGTATATAAATTAATTGTTAATTTATGCTGAGTCATAAGTGTTAAATAAAGTATAATTTTATTTTAGAATTTAGTAGGTAAATATGTAAGATATTTATCTATAGGTAATTTGTAAGATTTTTTTTTTACAAATACGCCTCAACTTCTTGGATTATTGGCGTTTCAAAATACATATTATAGCTTACCTAATTTTTACAAAATAATAAATTGTAAATAGGTGAAAAATTGATACAATAAGTTTTAAGAGAAATATGTTTACATTTTGTGTGATATTCTAAGTTTTGCTAATTCTATTATATTTTATGCAGAAGGTTGGTCTCTTTGAGGAATTCTATTAAGTATTAGTGATGTTTAATGTTTTTTATTCTTATTTAGGTAATGATAAAAATGGTAAACCAGTATTTTTGAAGAATATTTGGCCATCAAGAGCACAAATCCAAACTGTTGAAAAACAAACTGTGATTCCTGCAATGTTTCAAGATGTCTATGCTCGCATTGAAAATGGCTCTAATGCTTGGCAATGTTTACAAGCCCCGGACGGCCAATTATACCCATGGGATGCGTCGTCTACTTACATAAAAAACCCTCCATTTTTCAGTGGCATGACAAAGGTATAAAGTATAAACCATATTTTACTAAACAGTACAATAGTTTCTGTACGATTATTTCTTGTTTAGGAATTACCTGGTGTTCAATCAGTAAAAGGGGCACATGTACTTCTGTTTCTTGGTGACTCTGTGACAACTGATCACATAAGTCCTGCTGGTAGTATCGCCAGAAATAGTTCTGCGGCTCGTTATTTAGCTTCAAGAAAGTGAGCTTAAACACATTGATTTTAATCATTGTATAATATGTCATAAACTAAAATCTCAATCAATTTTTTTTTTTAGCATCACACCAAAAGACTTCAACTCATATGGCTCAAGACGTGGAAACGATGATGTTATGGCTAGAGGGACATTCGCCAACATAAGATTAGTAAATAAGTTGGTCAAGAACACCGGACCAAAAACATTGCACATTCCTAGTGGACAAGAGGTTATACATAATGATTAATTTTTAAGCCAATGTTTTTCATTGAGGTAATTATTATTTTTTTTATTTTATAGTTGGATGTCTATGATGCAGCTCAAGTTTATGCAAAAGAAGGAAGACCACTCATTGCTATTGTTGGCAAAGATTATGGATCAGGTTCTTCAAGAGATTGGGCAGCAAAGGGACCGTTTTTGCTGGTAATATACTTGTATGATTTGTATTGCATTTCGTATTTTTAAAAGTTCATCGCATATTATGCTATGGTGAAAACGTTTTAAGATTTTCATTGCCTTTTAGGGGATTAAAGCTGTGATTGCTGAGTCTTATGAACGTATTCACCGCTCCAACTTGGTTGGTATGGGAATAATTCCATTGCAATTCCGTTCCGGAGAAAATGCCGAAACATTTAAACTTACGGGTCACGAAATTTATGATATAGATATTCCACAAAACTGCAAACCATTGCAGGAAATCCAAGTGAAAGTAAATAATAAATAAATACAATCTTTACATTACTTGATTTTCCTAATAATGTATTTAATTTTTTCAGACCAATACAGGTGTCACATTCAACACAATTTTGCGTTTTGACACTGAAGTGGATATACTATACCATAAACACGGAGGCATTTTGAACTATATGATCAGAAAGATGTTAGATTAAATTACTTTTTCATGAACAATTATCCATGACTATAATTTATTTAAAACTTATCTTTATTATAATAATGTGGTAAAGGTTATGCATTTTTATTATTGTACAATCAGTACATTATTTTATTTTTGCCAAATTTTTAAAAATAATTGTTGTCACAAATATATGATATAAAGATTAATTGATATTAATTTAGATTAAATATTAAATAAAGTGATAATTGTGCCACTAAATTGTACACACTGAAGACACTTTTATTTATGTTTTATCAACAACAGAGGAAATAAGTTATCATGTTTTTATAATATGTGGTCAACATTTCAAACAGTTCAGCCATGAGGTTAAAAAAAAAAAAAAAATGAAAAAATTCTTTACAGTTTAGTTTGCAATAAAATTATTTTCATAACCGAGAATACTCTGTGGATATCACTCTAATTTGTGTCACAGATTCAGGGACAATATATTAGGACGTGAAAAACAATTACATTAATTACTTTGAATAAAAATCAACAATAGTTGCAACAAACTATCTTGTTACAATAAAATTTATAAAATATCTCCATATAAATAAATATAATTTAATTAAAACATTTTTAATTTACAATTCTATGATTTCCATCTCTTTCATTTTCTTAATTATTTTACAATTAGTAATTGAGTCACTGCCCATAAAATAATTAAAATAAAATAATTTATAAAAATAGTAAAATTAAAATAGAAAAATAAATTGTTTCATAGTAACTTAATAATTAAACATACATTTTTAAGAATTTACTTATTCAAAATCACAATTAATAAATTGACATTTAATAAGAATAAAATAAAAAATAAAAAATACAGCATTTGATTTGTTACTTAATTTTATAGTATACAATTTTTTTAAATAATAAAAAATATATAAAGTTACCATTCTATTTCATTTAACATATTTTCAACTTCTTCTACTAAGTTACTTTTTGTTGGCAGTAAATTTGTGTCTGGATTTTCTCCAAATTGAGCTTTTAATATTTTATGTGATTTATTATAATTCAGCAAACTATCTTGTTCGTCAAATAATTCTTCACACCTAATAACATATGTTATACAGATTTAATTAATGAGATAATGATATTGATTTATTATTTTTTTAAACATGATCTTTAGATGATATGTTTAGATTTTGATAGTTAATGCTTACTTTGATTTTAATGTATCTAATTCTTTAGTTAACATTGCTACTTTAATCAATGAATCTTTTAACTGAATTCTTACATTAATTTTATTTTCATAATCAAGCTGTTTCAATGACTCTATAATTTCATTAAACAGAATCTTAACAGCTTCTATAAAATAAAAAAATCATTAATTTAATACAGTTTTTATGTTTCATCATTTTCATTTATCCAAAGAATAATATTATGATATAAATGATTTCCTTACATCATGTCAGGGAATATAAAACATACTTCATTAAGAAATATCTTGTCCATTTAAACTTAATAGKTAGATAATAGATATTACTTAAATCGGAATAATTAATATTAATATCAAAATTCTTCTGATGTATATTTTATCTTATTTACCACTCATCTTAGGTTAGATTTATTTATGTATTCTTCATATTTAGGAAATTCAGTACTGCAAAAACCTGGTTTCCTGATTGAGTACAACATAACATAATACATGTAGTAGGTCTAAGGCCGTGGCACATTTTAGAGACCAGCTCATAAAGTTAAAAATATTAAAAAGGATGTCAGCACATTGTTTGTTTTCTTTCTCTGGCCTATGCGCAACATTGATAAAACGCATTCATTTAAAATCGTCTTTTCTATGTTTTTGAATGATCTTAGAGCATCAACGCAACTAGACAACTGGACGCTAAGGACCCAAAGCACCCCCTCTAGTTGAGCCAATGCCTTAGAGAGTAATCACCATTATAAAATTGATAGTCTAATATTTTAAAGGGAATGATATATTATCAATTTGTCTAAATATTGTTTTTCTAAGCAATTAAACATCATTTTTATTTTGAAAGTTTAGTATAAATTACAAAGTCAAATAATAATAAAAATTAAACTATATTACAAAAGGTGATTTGGTAACTGTGTCATATGCTATCTACGCACTAAATACTAGTGTCGTATGCTATCTACAAATACTATTTATCGTCTGATGTTTTCTATATAATCGTAATCATATTTATCTACACTCTACAAAGTACAAAGTTAGATCCCACGGGTTTTTAACGATAAGATGTGTCTGTGGTGCCACTAATTTGCTGGAAAGGCAGCTTAAGAGGACGCCACACCCGCATGTGTTGTCTCCGTCGTACAATTGCGTAGCATAGCAAATTTTACGCTCAGCAGATCACGTTTAGCTCTGTTAATTTAAAATTTAGAGTGAATTTACCTCTTATAAAAATTAAAGGTAAGATTATTACCAAGGGCATCTCATAGGCTTTTTATTATATTTTAATTTTAAACCGAGTTATGAGTATTTTTAGGTATAAAAATAATTTACAATTTTAAAATACTCATAACTCGGTTTAAAATAATAAGCTTATGAGATGCCCTCGGTAATAATCTTACCTTTAATTTTTATAATAGGTCAATTCACTCTAAATTTTAAATTAACGGAGCTAAACGTGATCTGCTGAGCGTAAAATTTGCTATGCTACGCATTTGTACGACGGAGACAACACATGCGGGTGTGGCGTCCTCTTAAAGAAGAATGGTGGCGCTCCATAAATGGCATAAACACAACAAATACGTTCGAAACATTTTTTATTGATATGAAAAATACTTTTCAACTTTAATTAAGAACATTCATTAAACAATCATTTAATCAAACATTCATTATCAATTTATTTATGAAGTGCTCTGGTTTAAAACGAAGTAAGATTTTTTATATAATAGTATAGATAACATTTAGTGCGTAGATAGCATACGACACCGCTACCGGTGATTTTACTCTAATCAATAAAACTATTTTATCTATGTTGCATGTTAGTTTAAGAGAAAACAAATATTGCACTGATATCTTTCTAGTTGCTGAAAACAATAAGTATAAATTAAAATTGATATGAATGTTAGGTATTGTGTTGAACAATTGTCGATTTTCGATAATTCCATTTTAATCTTAGTCACTTAGTATAATATGAAAAACAAAAATTTGAAAGCTATTAAGTGGCGATGCAAAATCAAATAATAAGAAACACCTGAACAAGAGTATTCCATAGCAACAAATGATATTTTTTAATAATTTTGTGAAACTGAAAAATGTATGTATTAATTAGTCAGTAAATGATTACTTGAATTGACAATAGTTTTTGAGTATTTATTTATAGTTAGAAATTGAAAAATAATATGTATCTAAGTATCTACCTATGCATCAATTTTAAATAGTAATAATGGTTTTGATTAACTCATATATTATCAACTTACAATTATTAATCAAAATCAAAAATTATAGTCTGAAATATTTTTCAGAATTCAGAAGATCAAAATTACATATTTGTATTATTATTATATTATTTCTATAATTAATCATACCTATTTAGTTTTTAGTTTTAATTCAAAGTTAAATATAAGTTTTAATAAGTTTAAGACAAGATATAAATTTAAAAATATCTCAAAATCTATCTTTACATACATTTTAGAATTATTTTAACTGAATAAAAAGAATGCGCCATATCAAATTTTCAGACATTGGCCTAATAAATTCTATTGTCTCTTAAGAGATAACTCCCTTAAGTTAACTTACTTAAATCATCTTCATCCAATTGTTTAAAATTTTTTACAACAACTTTGGATGCCGTACTAGAGAACAATGACATAATTTCTTCATCTGAATCATTAAATACAAGAGCTTTATCTATAATAAAAACAAATTTACATTACATAATAATATACAATTTAAATATAAGCAATTCAATAACAGCTTACTGAGCATTTCAAGTCCTTCAATTTTTTGATCAATCGTTTTTTTTTCAATTTTTWATCCATTTATTGTTTCCAATTCTTGACTTAAAGTTACTAATTGATCTTTGAGCATACAAAATTCATCCTTAAAAACCTTTTTTTGTTCATCAACATTTGCAGATATATTTTTTTCAATCAATTGAAAAACATATTTTGCTTCCAAGCTGCTGAGATACTTGTCATATGCAAATCTTAGCTTGGTAATTTTGTCCAATTGTAATCTATTACCAGTTGCGTTTAAATTTGGCATACTGCCATTTCTTTCTAAGGTAACATTGGAGCTAAAATCTGTAGCATTATATAGAATGTTACATCTTGTAATTTATATTAATTTTAGCGATGTTGTACTTACTTTTGATTCGTTTAACAGTATCATTTTCTTTTATATTAAGATTACTTTTAGATCGATGATTGACATTTTTAGGTGTTCTATTATTAATTGGAGTAATATTTGTTAAATTTGAATTACTAGCAGATAAGTTGGAATTAATACTACTATTAGGTTTCTTTCTATACATATTTGTTTTATCCATCCTGAAATATATAAAGTTCATGTTACACATTTTATAATATGCATAAGGTATTACATTAGGTATAGGTGATGTATGGTAGCATACAAGAAAACATATGTTTTAATCCATACCAAACTATGGTAAATAAAACATGATCAACTACTAAGCTGTGTGCTATTTTGTTAAACTCTAGGCGAGTTTATGATGAACGTAATAGTCACGGTCAGAACTGCTTTACATAATGTGGTATGCGATGATGCACAGACTTCCATTATGCTGCTATAGAAATCCTCTATATTTTGTTAATAATGAAAAAATTACGGCCAAACATAATGTCTTAACTTACTTAAACAGTGAAATTCAACGTAACAACAGGTGCTAGATTGAGATTATGAAATGAGTAGGTACTTACCTAAATTAGACGTGTACAAGGCGTATGTATACAAATTTTAACAATAAATTAGATCACAGAGTACTAGAAAAGAATATTATAAAGTATGAACTGTCATTTGCATATTGCAACTTACAAGGAAGTAGAAAACGTCGAAAACGAACTGATAACCACAATAAGCGTTAAATATTTAAATTAGTCGAGCGTCTAGAGATAGCGCTTCTTATCACTAACACACTATCACCACAGATTATATGATCATATAATCTGTGGTGATACAAACCATAGAGTAACTCTATGATACAAACATGAAGACTAGAATATTCTAATCTTTATGGATACAAAACA